TAGAAAAAAAGTGAAGCACTATGAATACCTTTCGGATGCACTGTATATGTTTGTAAGGTTTTCTTTTATTAAGGTTTACCAGTAACCTGGCAACTCAGGCATTATCAAAAACATGTATTTATTTACAAAAAGCACTTGCTATAAAACATGAAACTCAGGCAGGACAAGAAGGTGTAACAATACAATATCAGACAATCAACACACTAAATACACAAGACACGATTAAACAGATTACGAACAGGGGTGAGACAACAGGTTTAACTAATGAACATTAACACACAGCAGGAAAACAGAACAAAGGAGTCACTGCATGACATAAACACAAGCACATGGACACATGGCACATGTACACAAGCACATGGAACACAGCACATGGGCCATTACCTGACACAACATACAGACACACCAGACATGTAACAGTGACTTATCTGTTTTCTTTTTGCTCAAAAATAATTTTGACCTGATGTGATTTATTTTACAGATAAAATAAAATTTTGTTATTTTGTTAAGTTTCCAGTACAAAAAAAAAGTGCTGAGTGATTATTATTATATTAACACATTTATGTACATTGTCATGGGTATTCATGTTAAAAACCCTTGTTATTACTGAATCAACATTTCCAAAAACCGTTTTGTTAGTGTTTAGGCACATTTATCGTTCTAAAAGCATTCATTGTTCATAATGTCAATGTGAGAGGAAAGATGGGTGCAAGCATAGTGAGAAAAGGGTGATGAAGTGTGTTGTGATTGGTTCATATTGACCGAATGAGCCATTCCACATTCAGTTTAGTGGGTAGAAGCTTTGTTGCTTTACAGACAAAATACGATGCTAAAACAATTTGTATGTGATGGTGAATGCCAGACTCTTTGAGGACAATGAGGAAACATGACTATGAGGCATGACATTCGTTTTTGAGTAATCTGTTATCAAATAAATCTCCTCTTAAAAGCTGTTAATTAAAGGTCAAACACACAGACAACTGTGCAAAAGATACAGTAGGCTCATCTACGGTAGTGGATTCTGCTCTATAGAATCTGCAAAGAAGACTTACTGTTAAAAGCTCAGAAAAAAAAACGATTGATGAAATCAAGGGCATTTTATGAATGCTTTACAAAGTACATGTGATTCAAGCTGACAGCTCTGCTTTCTCCAATGATACAAATGCCAAGGTTGTCATTTCCTTTAGCAATCCCTGGTCTGATGCTACAGTACTTGTCTGTGTTCATGTGGTGCAGAGCAGAAGCAGGAGAACAACAACAGTCTTAAGAAAAACATCCTTCCTAACATGTTTTTTCTTCGTTTTATGATGTAATGATAATGCTATGTAATGTCAAATGTTCAAGTAGAGTGAAACTCATTTTAATAAAAAAATAATTATTTTATTTCAGAAAAAAATACCAAAATATCTTTAGTTATTACCTAGTTTAACTGTGTTGATTCTGGATATTAATACTTTTTTTAAGTAAAGCCACATACAGTATACTTTAATAATGCATTCATTCATTCATTTTCTTTTCGGCTTAGTCTATTAATTAAGAGTCGCCACAGCGAAATGAACCGCCAACTTATCCAGCTAATTTTTTACACAGCGGATGCCCTTCCAGTTGCACCCCATCACTGTAAAACATCCATACACTCCTATCCACACACATATACTCTGGACAATTTAGCCTACCCAATTCACCTATACTGCATGTCTTTGGACTGTGGGGGAAACCGGAGCACCCGTTAGAAACCGATGCAAACATGGGGAGAACATGCAAACTCCACACAGAAATGCCAATGACTCAGCCGGGGCTTGAATCAGTGACCTTCTTGCTGTGAGGGGATTGTGCTACCCACTGCACCACTATGCTGCCCTTTAATAATGCAGATATAAGAAATTAAACGTAAGAACAAAAAGTTAAATAATAATAAAATTTAATTTGAAATTTCATCACAGTCTGAAGAAAATATTCTGACAGCTGGTAGCCGGTGTGTGTGTTTGTGTGTGTATGAGTCAAACCCCTTTGTTTCTGTTTTTGACAATTGTAGCTTATTTAATTTTATGTTTTACTTTATTTTATTTGCTATTTGTTGTAGTCACACCTGAGTGTGAGTGTGTGTGTGTGTGTGTGTGTGTGTGTTAGTAAACATGTTTGCTTCACTTTTCATTCATGCTCTGGAATCAGGTCTTATTTATTGTGTATTATTTTAATTCATGGCATTTGTTTATCTAATAAATGCAAAAAAATATTTTATTGTTTTTCCATTTATTGCAGTTGAGGACATTTTGGCATCCCAAAACCAAAAGTGTGAATTTGATATGAATTACGAGAAGTGAAAATGCAGAAAATAGACTGACAGAAAATGCAGAACAAGTCACAAAATCTCAGGCCACCAATATGAAGGGAACCAAGATTATCATTTTTGAGAACACTTTACATTATGTCCATTAATTAATGTATTTATTGATAATAACATTTCAATAAAGAATAAATTTACAGCATTTATTATGCTTTTTAAAATTAGTTTATAAACATAATGATTAGGCCTACTCATTCATTTTCTTTTCCATTTAGTTTCTTTACTAATCAGAGGACACCACAGCAGAATGAACCACCAACTTATCCAGCATATGTTTTACGCAGCGCATGCCCTTAGCTGGAACCCATCACTGGGAAAATGATTAGGCCTATACTGATATACAATATATTAAAATCATAAGCTGGCAATTCACTAATGTTGAAATCAATGTTATTAAAAATGAATTAATAGTTTAGTAGTTTTTTTTAAGTAACCTTAACTAAAAATGTGCACAAATTAAATATTTTAGTAAAAAATAAATTTACTGATCACAAATGTGCAAAGAAATGAGGTGTCACGGTTGCGCAGTGGGTAGCACAATCGCCTCACAGCAAGAGGGTCACTAGTTCGAGCCTTGGCTGGGTCAGTTGGCATTTCTGTGTGAAGTTTGCATGTTCTTTCCTCACAGTCCAAACACATGCGCTATAGGTGAACTGGGTAAGCTAAATTGTCTATAGTTTATGTGTGTGATTAACAGTGTATGGATGTTTCCTAGTGATGGGTTGCAGCTGGAAGGCCATCAGCTGCGTAAAACACATGCTGGATAGGTTGACGGTTCATTCCGCTGTGGCGACCCCAGATTAACAAAGGGACTAATCCGGAAAGAAAATGAAAGAATGAATGAGAAATTAATTTTTTTATTTTAGAATAAAATACCAAAATAACTTAACTAACTAGTTATTACCTAAATTAACTGTGTTGACTCTGCATAATATTGATATTCTTTTTTACAGTAACACCACATATAATTTAATAATGCAGATAAAAGAAATTAAACTTAAGAGCAAAAAATAAAATAATAAAATCCAGGTTGAAATTTCATTACTGTCTGAACAAAAATATTCTGACAGCTGGTGGCCAGTGTGTGTGTATGAAACTGTAAGTCAAACCCCTTTTGTTTTTGTGTTTGGCAGTTGTAGCTGATTTTAATGCTATCTATTGTAGTCACACCTGAATGTGTGTGTGTGTGTGTGTGTGTTAGTAAACATGTTTGCTTCCCTCTTCATTCGCAATCTGGATTCAGGCCTTATTTATTGTGCATTTTTTTAGTCATTTATGGCAGATTTTTTTTGTTTGTCTAATAAAGATAAAAATATATATTTTTCCCAATCATTTCAGCTGGGGACATTTTGACATCCCAATACCAAAAGTGTGATTTTGTTTTACATACCTTCAGAAGCACATGTGTGTGTATGGATAGAAAATGTAGAAAAAGACACAAAATCTCAGGCCACCAATATGAAAGGAACCAAAGTTATTATTATTTAAAAACACTTTACAATAGGTCCAATAATTAATGCATTTATTGCTGATTAATAATATAATTATGCTTTTTAAAATTAGTTTACAAACACAACAAAAAGGCCTAATCATTTGTTTTCCTTTCGACTTAGTCTCTTTTTTAATAAGGGGTCGCCACAGAGGAATGAACCGTCAACTTATCCAGCATATGTTTTACGCAGCAGATGCCCTTCCAGCTGCAACCCTTATCTGGGAAAATTATTAAGCCTACTGATATACTTTATTAAAATCATAAGCTGGCTATTTGCTAATGTTGAAAACAATGGTAATAAATATTATTTAATATTTAGTAGTTTTTTGTAGTAACGTTAACTAAAAATGAGCACAAATTAAATATTTAAGTAAAAAATAAATGTATTAATCACAAATGTGCAAAAAATCCCAAAAACAAGATGGATGCTAATTTTACTAGGTCTAAAACTTTTACTAAGTCTAATAAGTCTAACAAACACAGGCAAACCTCTGCTTTTGGCTCCTAGAAAGCTCTCTGTCGGTTCATCGGTTTTCTTTATATAAATTGGACTTTCCTTCTAGGTTATAAGAATGTTCCCAGGATGTTCTCTTTTAAGTTCTTTTGAACTTACAGAAAAGCTCGGTGCAGTTTGTTGGGAACTTACATAGAACGGTCTTATTTAGCTAGGAATGTTACAGTTCTGAACATCAGCACACCTGCGTTTTCCTGTATGTCATCAGAAAGAAAACGCTGCTGCAGTAATATCGCTTATTGTTAATAATCACAAACCAGCAACGATCCTAATCTGATTAAGTGTTTACTGGTCAATAATTGGCCTGTGTTTATGTTCCATGTGTTGTTCTCCTGTGATGCTGCCGAGTGCTGGAGAGCACAGAGTGGACGCGTGGGGAGAAAAACACGTCCATGACATCATCATCCGCCTTGTTGTGATTCCCGTTCCCGCCGGGTTCATCTCGTGGATGCAATCACAGGATTCCCACACCGATTTCCCCCGTGTGCAACTTCAGCTTCCTTGTAACTGTCCGTCGCTCCGCCCGCCTCGGTCGGTTTTACTTAAACACTTGCGCTTTCTTTATCGCTCCGCGGCTCGACTGACTCTCGACATCGCCATTGTTGGGTTCAGCAGAGTTATGAGGATGACCGAGAGATGCTTCCGGTACAAAAGTGATATCTTTATGAAAGCTGTGGCGAGGAAGAGCTCATGTGATCGAGGCTATTGTTAGACGAGATGAAACGGTGTCGGTTGGCGTGACACACCTGGGATCGTTTCAGCAGAGCTCCGAGCACGTATTTCTACTGTTCCCCACAGCCATCGTGCCTGCAAGCGGAAAGGATTCGTTTATTTCGCCCAATATTAGTTAGAGAAGCCATTCTAGTGTGTGTTATTTCATGGGGATGTGTTCAAGGCAGGAGAGGATTCAAAAAGACGTCGACATCGTAATTCAAAGGTGTAAGGCAGAGAAAGACTGCCTGTTTTCTGGTGAGTTTCCATTGTCTCTTATTAAGAGTAACGTACTGTCTTGCCGTAGATTTACTCAAGACAATTGACAGGCTGTCAGCCTCACTGTTGATGGCTTTATTTCCTTCTCCACACCAAAGCTCGATATGCTCAAAAACACGTACGTATGTGGCCGATGATGTGCCCCGGCGTCCGCAATTTAATCTTTCCTGGACGTTATAAATTATGCAATAATCAACTGCAACCGAGGGCCTAGCAAAACGTGAGTTGCCGTTATTATTGCCACATATTCTGCTCTTACTATCTCATACAGGCATTAACATGCCTCTCAGGTGTTGTTTTGTGATGTGAATGATTTTTCAATTAGCCCCCGCGTTCCCATTGTTGAGTTTCACACATTTATTAATGATCAATGCCATTCTCGTGTATATGGATATTATCAGTGGACATTTCCAGTTGATGTTGCCATGGAGACTACACTTGTTGAAAGGGACTTTTTTGTCTTGTGTATTTCTCACAAACATCAAGTTTGTGTCTTCACTTGTCTTCATTGTCTGTTTGTTCCAGACTTTAGATTCTCCGACTCCACCTTCACGTTCACCTACTCAAAAGGACCTAAAAGGTAAATAATAGATGCTGCTTTGAATGTAAACAATTGCTGATCCTCACACTGCTTTGGGTTTTTTGCTCACTATTGGTCAAATAACAAAAAATCTGACATTTCAACATCCTCATGTCGACCAAAAGGTTATCTTAGGCTGAATGGCTCAATTTACATTTGCTTTAATTTTTGGAAAAGAATGTAGAATGAAATTGAAAGCTTACATCTTATTTGTGCTTCACAGAAGAACATTATACAGGTTCACGACAGGATGAGAGTGAGAAACAATGGCAACTTTATTTTGAGCATCTTTTACTTTTGTTAACTCTCATGTTCAGAACCATGTAACACCCTTAAGGCTCCTGGATAAAAATAACTATACAATTGTTTGAAAATAGCTTGTAAAGCTATATATATTTCAATGATAACTGCTTTGATCTATTTCTTCGGTCATATTGGTCATAGGCCTCTTTAACCTTGAATGAATGAATTTCGAGTTATCTAGGCATTAAGCAACTTATTATAAAGAAGCAATACTCACAAGAAGTGCTAATTATATGACGTATAAGTAAAACATAAACGTTATAGACATGAAATTAAATAATAGTTTCAAAGCATGCTGAATGCACAGTAGTTGCCTGCAACTGAAACTACACTAAAATGTTGCTTTTGAAATAATTTCATATTTCATAAAATGGCTGCTGATTAAAATATAAATTAATAGTACTTTAGTGCAATATGGAAAACACAGAATTGAAATGTACTTATGCAGAACATCTCAACATAATGAGTATGAACATATTGAGTTTGTCCACCTCAATCGCCCCTTTTCAAAGTGCCCCTATTGACCTTACTCTTCACGTAAGAGCAGTGTGCAGCCAATGGAACTTTATTGGCTTTAGACGACTGATCTCATTCACTTTCATTTAATTTTAGCAATTAAAATCAGCTTGTTATGCAGCTTAATGGTATAAACTGGCATTTTGTAGTTATATTATTTCTTTTGTATGTATAGGCATAAGAACACTTGTTTGTAGAGCAAGTAGCTGGACCATTTTATGTCGTTTGTTGTTCATAGCAATTTCTTCCATTATCAGTTGAACCAAAAGTTCTAAAACAGTCACAAAAAAGGCTTCATTTGAGAATGAGGTCAATTATGTTTTAAAACATATATTTTCATGCAGTGTGTAACAGCGCCAAGTGTATGAAAACATCCTGCTAGGTTTTAAATCTAGAAGTGAACCATGTGTAAAGTTATTGTCTCTAAAAGCTTAGAAATGAAACTAATTTCAATGGCTTGAGCCACGCAGGGGCATTTTTTGCTTTTACTGTTATGACTAAACTGCACACGTAGTACAGGACACCTTCAATGCGCATATAAGCGTGCTGTGGTCAAAGTTAAACAATGTTCAACTTTTGCTGCTGCAGAAACGTTTTGATTAATACTGAATGATTGTTGTTGTTATTACGTGGAGATGATGGGCATTCTGTTGCATACTGCATGCAGTAGACCAGTCGCAACTGACTGGTTCATCTGACCAATTACCACAGATTAGCATCATGCAAGAAGGGGTTTGAAAAAACCCCCCAAATAATTAGACAAAAATACATGCATATTATCACAAAATGTATGCATGTTATTGGTGACTTCCCAAAACAAAATATGAGCTTCTTATAATTCATACAACAGGCACTTTAAAAAAGGTTGGTCATTCCTAATAAAGACAGTCTAGTTGAGGTTCAATTGTGTTCTCTTTTTACCTTACACCCACAGTAGCATAATTGCCATAATCTCTGCTTCTGTAGTGGTCAATTCTTGCAAAATCCTGTGGATTGACAAATATGTACAACATTTGGAAGCTTGAGCAGTATGTAGGCTGTGCTGTGATTAACAATAGATTATGTTTACATATAATTAATTACCCTGTACCCTGTCATTGACGTATTAGACACTGACTAATCACTTTTACAGTGATGAATAGGCAGCCATTTTTAGCTGCTACCTTCCCTGTATAAAAGCAATGAGTATATGGTAAAAAACAAAATGTCTTGTGGATATCTATTAAGTCATGTAGTTCTCTCTTAAAATGCTTTAAAAAGCAGATAATCCAGGGCTATGTCTGAAATTTTACCGACTTACATATTGAAAAATAAAAAGTGTTCGAAATCAGTGTGCTCATAAAAAATAAAAGAAAATACCTGGATGACCTACTGCTTGTGGCGGAATTCTGAAAGGTGCATGCAGTAAACATTTTCAGTCTGGTAGAGGATTTCACAGTGAAAGACACTACAGACGCAGGTAGATCACCAGCATGGTAAATGTAGTATCTTTCATTCCTACTGCACAGTGCACACATTCATTTTCATATTGTCGTGAAGTAATTTTAAAAAATACTCATCGCTCCGGTGATCATAAATACCAGTGTGTTAAAGTGTGGTTGTTTTATTTGTATGTCACCCTCCAGGGCTCACACCGTTGTGGCACATATGTGTAATGTTTTGGCTAAATGCTGTGAATATTTGATAGGTCCCTGAGGTTTAGTTTAAATATGCAGTTTGCTGTGTTTTTTTTTTTTTGGACAACTACTGTATCATATCAGTCATTGAATGTCACTGCTCTGTAATTTGGTTTGACACAAGACATTGCAAGCAAAGGTCAGTGTTAGTTTTTATCAAAGGGGTGTCTCAAAAGTACGCAAGCAGAAGTTCACGATACTTTCAGTTAGGGGTGGTTTTAGGTTAGCCTGTGAAAGCTTGACGTCAAGTGCTCACATATCGTCTTACCCAGTCTTGATGCTCTATATTATCTGGTGAAAGGAAACATGAGAAGAAAACCACTGCTTTTACTGTTGAAAGAGAAGTCGGTCCAATCTATTGACCTGTTTACTATAAACACTTGTCTATGCCAGCATATAATTTAGTGTTTCTCAACAGATAGAGATGAATACAGACCACTGTTTTTTCTTTGGATTTCAACCTCAGTTAACAATGAACTCCAATGATACCAAACTGAAATTTTACCTTAGGGCTATTTGGATGAGTAATACACCTCCAAAACTACCAGGCCTTGGTAGAAATGAGCACTTGTATAGTGCTTTCCTCATTGTAGTCATGCAAATTTTATGATAAATATGCTAATTTAAATGAGTTGTCCAACAAAGCACTTTAGGCTCACTGAAGCATAACCAGTAGCGATAAGAGGGACCTGAAAAGATTTATGAAAGCCGAGTGGTGGATCTCATCTTTCCAATAGTCTTTAAATGAGGTCTTCAGGTTTTCATTACTATAAGTTAAAGGTGGTTGAATGTGTCCATGTTTTTATTTTGCTGTTTTTATTTTTTTCATTTATATAATTTTTTAATTTAATGTTTATTTCTATATCACATTTACAATATAGATTGTGTCAAAGCAGCCTTACACAGAAGTTCTAGTAAATTTAAACTGTCAATCCAGTTTTCGATTTTGACTATATATATAGTCAGAATTATTAGCCCTTAATTAACACATTTCTTAACATAATAGATTAAGCATAATATTTTACTAGATATTTTTAAGATACTAGTATTCAGCTTAAAGTGCAATTTAAAGACTTAACTGGGCTAATTAGGGTAAGTTAGGGTAATTAGGCATATCATTGTATAACAATGGTTTGTTTGGTAGACAACCGAAAAACAAAAACAAATTGCTTAAGGGGAAATGTTTTATTGTTATTTTTATAAAAACTGCTTTTATTCTAGCTGAAATGAAACAAGTAAGACTTTCTCCAGAAGAAAAAATATTATAGGAAATACTAAAAATTCCTTGCTTTGTTAAACATCATTTGGGAAATATTTAAAAAAGAAAAAAGATCATAGGAGAGCTGATCATTTTGACTTCAGCTGTATATATATATATGACTGTTAATGCTGATTGCATAATGCATGTGTGTATTTGGAAATTCTAAAATGTATTCTTTTGGTTTTTTATTTTTGTTATACACTCATTCATTATATATTGACCATATTTGTTTTTTATTTGTGCACATTTAGTACACTACTTATGCTGAACTTTAAAAATGGACCATTTTTCATCATCGTTGTTTGTTTTATCGTATTTTAAAATGTCACTTCTGTTCTTGGAGGAGGTGCCCTGCATTACAAGCAGGAAGTAAACTGGTGGGCTCTCTATGAAAAATCATTGCGCTTCAGCTTTTAGCGGAAGTAACACATTTCCTGTTTGCAGAGCATGCACTTATGATGCACTCGATGTCTTTCACTGAAGGGTTCATGTTTCCTTCTAATGGTCTGGTTTTTTTTCGGATGCTTTGGCATTTTTTTTTTCTTTACTGAAAATAAACTAGTTCTAATATCCCACATTTCAGGTGACCCTGATATTTAACACATGAAACTATTCAAAGATGGATATTCAGGTTTCACTTTTGTTTGATGTTACCAAAGTAGTTATAAGATATTTCAAGCAGTGAAAAGAACAGACAAGCCCATAATCCCTGAGATGCAGTAGTTTCTCATGAATAATCCATCATGGCCGAGATCAACACAAATTATGTTTGAGTTTCATCATCTTGGTATAACTTAATTTGCATAATTATCATGAGTGCTAAATTGTGACAAGCTCTAATTCAAACAAATGTTGTTGCGTTAGACATGGATGCTGGCAAACCAGTGGAAATAAACTTCAGGTCATTTGGTATACTACTGTATATGAAAGAGATGCAAACTATTAATTCAGGGATTAGATGAGGATGTTTGTAATTTAGGGCTCGTTAACTTAGGTGTTTCACAGTATGATGTAGAAAGTGAAAGCACCAAAAGCAGAAGCAGTTTACCGTGTTCGTGCTGCATTGGTTTTTTTGTAAAGGTTTTTAGGCCACTTTAAGGTTTTATAAACCACTACATCTGTTAGAGTGCAGACATATGAATCAAGTTAAAACAGTTTCTGCTTAAACATCTGTGTACATCAGGGGTGCTCAACCTTGTTCTTGGAGATCTACTTTACTACAGAGTTCAGTTCCAACCCTTATC